GTTGGAAAAGAACGGATAAAAAATGACAAATCACAAAATGTTTTGTGTACGGGAACTACTGGAAGAAATATTGTACGAGATGCAAGATGTTTCAATCCGATTGGTCCATCCGTCTCGACGTAATCAGCAAACATACCTAAGAATTACGATTTTTTGCAAAAACAACACGAGTAAAAAATGACATGTCGCAAAAAATCTTGATGATGGGACCACCCGGGGAGACATGCACTTCCAGATGCAACAGGTTTCATTCCGATTGGTTAAGCCATCTCGGCGTAATCGGTGAACATATCCTAAAAAAAAAAACAAAAAAAAATATCCACGTCGAATAGAGTAACCTCCTCCTTTTCGAAGTCGGTTAATAAAAGAGAAGGTATGGTTCCAAATTTCAACGTCGGGCCTTTAAACTCGCGTGAAACGTAATTAAATAATTTTGTGACGTTGGTGTCAAACGGAACGAGAAGTAGAATTTGCTAATGATTTAAAGTAATAAAGTAAGACGTTTATTTAAAAATTGAAATTCAGTTCGAATAATTGTATTTACTCGTTATCGTGTAATAATTTAATTTCAATCGTATTGTGATTAATTATATACTAATTGTTAATTGTTTCTGTTAACTTGCGGAACGAAACGTCGAATTGTCGATACAATTTTAATTTATTTTACGACGTCTAATTAATAAGTTTTTCTCTAGCAAATGCATCAAAGATAACATTACACGATAATGAAATAATGGACTTTTTAGAGAGAAAGGAATTTACAACTATTCTCTTACTAGAATGCCTCGGCAGTGGCAGCTGCTGTTGTAGAATTTGTTTGTGTTCACCATCCTCTATACATTTTGCGTCGGATGCTATTCAAAAAGCGTTTAGTTCAACCCGTGGACTTATACCTGATGAAATACCGGGCAAAATTTCCTACGATTTCCATGGCTCAGGTATTCTGGGTTTTGCTTGGATAACGGACGCTAAGCAAAGAACCGAGCGCAAGAAAGATTAGGCACCGTGTCCGAAGCAGGTACAAGAGTTCAGAGTTACTTCGGCCCGTAATCGTTTAACCCCTCGACGACCAGGTCCCTCAACATGGATACTTCGAACAGAGGCAACTTTACAAATTAACTCTCGAATGACTGTACGATGTTTGCTACGTAAAATAAAATATCGTGTAGTAAGTAAGTAAAATACAACGTTACGTTTTTTTTTTAATGAAAAATTTCTTACAAATGTTCTAATACGATTATTTTGAAAAACATATATTTGTGGTAACTTATTTTATATATAATATGATTGCTGAACAAAAAAAAATAAAGAATAAAAAATATTAAAAACAACCATATATTTTCGATCCGCACATGGTAAGGGCTCAGTTGGACGCATATGTGCGTCATCCGCAGCGAAAGTGTTAACTATCTTTTCCTGTTTTTGCGAATTATTAGTTTGTCTGGAAAGTCCGTGCCGTTTTTTTGATAGGTGGTACACGTCTGTTTATAGAATGGTTGAAGACAATTAACACGGGTGCATCCCTTAAAAGGTGGAAAGGTCGTGGAACAAAATATTATTTATATAATTCGATAAATATATATCAAAATTCAAATATGCCTTTGAATTTTTCTTAAAAATTGCCACGAACTTTCTGGACAACCCAATACTAAAACCTTTTCGAAAAGTGCTAACGAAATCCAAATGTTTCGCCACTTTAACGATTCAAATTTGTGACAATCATAATCAACGTTTATCATTAATGTACGTAAAGGTACATTTTCAATTTAAAAAGTTCATCGCGCGTCACGATCCGAAGGACGCGGTTCTTAGCGTTTCTCTTATCGAGCGAGCCTTCCTGGAGAGTTCAACGAGAAACGGTCTCCTTCCGATCGATCGTTGGTTCCTCCAGATCCATTTAAATTTGAAACGTTTAATTGTCTGCGCATTTGCGCCAATAATTGCGTGAACATCTATTAACAGCAATTGTTTCGTTTTACTACGCGTATCGCGTAGCGAATTTAATGGAACAAGGAATTATTGGTTATCGGTGTAGCTTCGAATCGATCATCGGAGTAGAGAGCAGCGGCAAGCTGCAAACTGTAACGCGTGTTACAGCAGAAATGGAAGCTTTCCGGCCTTCGTTCTCGAACGGTTTCGCATAAATATGCTAAACATAATATGTTGAAATGGAAGTCGGGATAGGACAGGCTTGGCTGTTTAACTAATTGATACTGATTAACGGTTTAATATTTCAATACGCCGTGTACACACTTTTGTTTTAGTACAAGAAGGTAACACATATTATAGTACAGTAAGCGCGGTAAGTTCAAACTATTGAACGTTTACTTCAACACAATAAAATGCGAGGGTCAAGGTAGTATTTACCGAAATAATGTCCAATCTCAAATATTTACAGACTCTTTAGTGCAAACAATCGTCGAATGGCCATTTACAAACCCAACCGTAGACAATGGAGAATCTATGATAGTGCGACGAAGCGCATAACCCATATTTCTTGCAAGATTTTAACCGGTACGGATTTTCCCGACTATTTTCGCTACTGGACTTTCAATCCTCGGTGCCCTTTGTTTCGGGGGACTCTGCTCGAACGTCGAGCGGCACTTCAATTTTAGCGAGCCGGGTGAATAGAAAATCGGATACTTCGGATTACAAGCGAAATTCGTTTATCATAAAATAATATTCTTGTGGAACCGAACAATTCCACGGAGACATCGAAAACAAAGCTCGTGCGCGTATATAATTTACTCCGCGAGACATTCGTTGATTGCGATATGGCTCCGTATTCTTTATTCGCATTCTCACGGTACTACGGAGAAAGAAAGAACTCTCCAAGTACAATAGGCGGCGTAATTAAGGGTCAAAAGTTTTTAGCTTCATTAATTACGCGAACACTTCAAACGATGCCATTATCATCCCGAGAATGCTGCAAGCAAAACGGTTCGCTGTGCATAATGTAGTTTCGTTTCTTCTCGGCTTCGGGGGGCCATTTTTCTGAATCAATTCGAGGAGCGGCGGAGGGGCGGAGGGGGGTGGAGGAAGGAATAAGAAATACGAGTGCCTTAATTGCGAGTGACTCGTAATTATATTAAAACAAAAAGTGTGAGCATCGTAGCTGCGATTTTATTTACTCTCAACGTTCCCATCTCGACATAAATTGTTATCAATGAACGGTCCAACCTAGATGAGATTGAATTTCTTTTGCTAGTTACTTTGAATATATTATAATAAATAGTTTTAGGTTGATGTAATCTAACCTGATATAACGCGACAGGATTCCTAAAATGAGAGATTCCTTTCAGAGAGATGTAAACGCCAATAGAACGATACGTTCAATAATTTATTCGAGACAATTAGTCATCAGTTAGTCATTCGAAGATACAATTTATTTGATTAAATAACATTGCTAAATATTTTGTACATCGAATTGTATATCGAAACATTGTCGCGTTGCTTTTTGAAATTTTGCATCGAGTTTAATTTGATCTTAAATACTCTTGCGAAAATGATACATGTGAAACGTCAAAAAATACTCAAAGGAATAACAATTTAAGTTTAATATTGACGATGACTTACAGTGGATAATTGAAAGGAGGAACGTAGTTCTCAGCAATGTGTACAGATGACGCCACTGACACTTGCTGGTTGAATCGTTTGACTTTGTGAAATAAGAAGCTTATTTAATTTAAATATGTAAGTAAAAACTGTATTTTAAGTTGAGGTTGTATCTGGTGCAATCATAATTGCTTGCAATTTAAGATCATGATGTAAATTCTAAAAAACTTTAAACCATCACTTCAAATCAACGATTCTCAATATTTTTCCATGCGCACTATCTCTAATTCATCAGCTTTTTAAATAAAATTTCCTGCATATTGCCACTAAATAATAGTAAGTTTATAATTTCTCGAAGTCTAACAAATATCAGTTCACCTTATCAATTATCTGGGTGTCTGATCTAAAATTTACCTTTTTACATCTTCTTTACATATATTTTAAATGATCTTGCTAGTTTGGTATGATTACAGCTAAGATAAGGAATGTGACTGAATGCTGTATGTATACAGTATAATAATAATTAAAACTTCTTTTTGATGTAAACACTTAAAATAACTATGCACTTTTAAGAGGGCTAATCTTATTATTCAATAAAGACTGGATCGTTTGATATTTAAGTATGTTTTATAGAGATAAATATAAATATGCGATAAAAAAGGAATAATTAACGCTATACGATAGATATTTAACAACAAAAGAATGAACCGTTTGCTCTGATAAGTTTTTTTTAATAGCGTTGGTAAGTGGTGAACATTCTTACTAATCGAAACGAAGAAAAACTGCGATTGATTAATGGAGACTGGAAAATTGAATATTCTTTGTTTCTTATTAAACGTTATTTCATACTTCTTAAAACTGATACAGAATGGTTACTAAAAATTTGCCTACAATATGAGTCGCGTGATTATTTAATTGATGGTTTATTAATTCAATATATTCTTTGTTCCAATTAGCAATATTATTTAATAAAGTACGTTGTTCAACTATGTAAGCGAATAGAATATGATTTTGTTTTCCTATATTCTTAAGAACCTTTCTCATTACGAACATAACTTCTTTACTCGAACATTTTTTTATTTTCATGAATGTTTCATGAGTAAACATATATACTAGCAATAAATACATCTATAATTAATGCAATAAAAAAAGCATTTAGCAATGAATGTTAGAAAACAAAACAAAAAACTGAAATTTTCTTATATTCTGTTCTCTTTC